GAGCAAAATGTTACTAAAACAGCCCAGTGGATCAGATTTGATACAAAAAATATCTCGTAAACAAAGTGATGTGGCAAAAAAATTTTGGATTTTGTTTAAAGGCCCAATAAACATGTCAGTTCTAAAAATGAGAATTTTCTGACTATTTTTGAAGACTTTAAAGTTAAGATCCTCTCAGACGCTAAATGTGAAAGAAGGCTGACTGAGTCTTTAAGAGCCAGCCCACATGTTGCTCAGGACAGCTGTGTCACATTCAGCTTGTTGTGTTTCTCTCAGCACCACTGCAGGAAGTGTGGCCAGGCCGTGTGCGGCAAGTGTTCGTCGAAACGCTCCACCATCCCCCTCATGGGCTTCGAGTTTGAGGTGCGCGTGTGTGACAGCTGCCACGAGTCCATCACTGACGAGGAGTGAGTAACAATCGACCCCTGTGAGCGACACACACACCGACTCTTTGTGTTCACCGCCGCTCTCTTTGTGTGTTTCAGCCGAGCGCCCACAGCCACCTTCCATGACAGCAAGCACAACATTGTTCACATGCACTACGAGCCCACAACTGGAAACCTGCTCACCTCTGGCACCGACAAGGCTGTCAAGGTCTGAATACGTAGGCTCTGTTGTGTCAGGCAGTRCAAACTGCTGTCCTGAATGTCCAGCTGGGCTCAGATATTTACCCATGAGCAAGTAGAAAGATACCATCTGYGTTTAGAGTTCCTTTTTTAAAGCCTTCGTTTTGTCATTTCTCTGTCCATGTCTTATATAAGTCAGAAATGTCAGAAAACCCAAGGATGCATGTGATTWTTAACAACCCTCAGTTCCAACAGCCTCACTTCATTTCAGGCTTCATATAATAATGATAATACTGTATATAAAAAACACAGTTACCCTGTTTTTATTAAGTAAAAACAACTCATACTTTRACACCAAGTAGACTCAGTTTGTTGCAGCAGGATGTAAACTTCTGTTTAATAAGTCGTAGACCTTTTTACCACATTTCCTTTGGAGCCAGTTTGATCTGCTTTAGATCTGAAATTAGTTCTGAGCAGAGCTGAGGATTGACTTTTACCATCTAATCTAGCTTATCCATCCATCCATCATCCATCCATCCATCCATCCATCCATCCATCCATCCATCCATCATCCATCCATCCATCTGTCCATCCGTCTATCATCCATCCATCCATCCAGCCATCCATCTGTCCATCCGTCTATCATCCATCCATCCATCATCTGTCTGTCCATCCATCTATCCATCCATCCATCATCCATCATCCATCCATCTGTCCATCCGTCTATCATCCATCCATCCATCATCCATCTGTCCATCCGTCTATCATCCATCCATCCATCCATCCATCATCCATCTGTCCATCCGTCTATCATCCATCCATCCATC